GTGTAGCCACTAGGTGTGTGTGTGTGTAGCCACCAGGTGTGTGTGTGTGTGTGTGTAGCCACTAGGTGTGTGTGTGTGTGTGTAGCCACTAGGTGTGTGTGTGTGTAGCCACTAGGTGTGTGTAGCCACTAGGTGTGTGTGTGTGTAGCCACTAGGTGTGTGTGTGTAGCCACTAGGTGTGTGTGTGTGTAGCCACTAGGTGTGTGTGTGTGTGTAGCCACTAGGTGTGTGTAGCCACTAGGTGTGTGTGTAGCCACTAGGTGTGTGTGTGTGTGTAGCCACTAGGTGTGTGTGTGTGTGTAGCCACTAGGTGTGTGTGTGTGTGTAGCCACTAGGTGTGTGTGTAGCCACTAGGTGTGTGTGTGTGTGTAGCCACTAGGTGTGTGTGTGTAGCCACTAGGTGTGTGTGTGTATCCACTAGGTGTGTGTGTGTGTAGCCACTAGGTGTGTGTGTAGCCACTAGGTGTGTGTGTGTGTAGCCACTAGGTGTGTGTGTGTGTGTAGCCACTAGGTGTGTGTGTGTGTGTAGCCACTAGGTGTGTGTGTGTGTAGCCACTAGGTGTGTGTGTGTAGCCACTAGGTGTGTGTGTGTGTAGCCACTAGGTGTGTGTGTGTGTAGCCACTAGGTGTGTGTGTGTGTAGCCACTAGGTGTGTGTGTAGCCACTAGGTGTGTGTGTGTGTAGCCACTAGGTGTGTGTGTGTGTGTAGCCACTAGGTGTGTGTGTGTGTAGCCACTAGGTGTGTGTGTGTGTGTAGCCACTAGGTGTGTGTGTGTGTAGCCACTAGGTGTGTGTGTGTGTAGCCACTAGGTGTGTGTGTGTGTGTAGCCACTAGGTGTGTGTGTGTGTGTAGCCACTAGGTGTGTGTGTGTGTAGCCACTAGGTGTGTGTAGCCACTAGGTGTGTGTGTGTAGCCACTAGGTGTGTGTGTGTAGCCACTAGGTGTGTGTGTGTAGCCACTAGGTGTGTGTGTGTGTGTAGCCACTAGGTGTGTGTAGCCACTAGGTGTGTGTGTAGCCACTAGGTGTGTGTGTGTGTGTAGCCACTAGGTGTGTGTGTGTGTGTGTAGCCACTAGGTGTGTGTGTGTGTGTGTAGCCACTAGGTGTGTGTGTAGCCACTAGGTGTGTGTGTGTGTGTAGCCACTAGGTGTGTGTGTGTAGCCACTAGGTGTGTGTGTGTATCCACTAGGTGTGTGTGTGTAGCCACTAGGTGTGTGTGTGTAGCCACTAGGTGTGTGTGTAGCCACTAGGTGTGTGTGTGTGTAGCCACTAGGTGTGTGTGTGTGTGTAGCCACTAGGTGTGTGTGTAGCCACTAGGTGTGTGTGTGTGTAGCCACTAGGTGTGTGTGTAGCCACTAGGTGTGTGTGTGTGTAGCCACTAGGTGTGTGTGTGTGTAGCCACTAGGTGTGTGTGTGTGTAGCCACTAGGTGTGTGTGTAGCCACTAGGTGTGTGTGTGTGTAGCCACTAGGTGTGTGTGTGTGTGTAGCCACTAGGTGTGTGTGTGTGTGTAGCCACTAGGTGTGTGTGTGTGTAGCCACTAGGTGTGTGTGTGTAGCCACTAGGTGTGTGTGTGTGTAGCCACTAGGTGTGTGTGTGTGTGTGTAGCCACTAGGTGTGTGTGTGTGTGTGTAGCCACTAGGTGTGTGTGTGTAGCCACTAGGTGTGTGTGTGTGTAGCCACTAGGTGTGTGTGTAGCCACTAGGTGTGTGTGTGTATCCACTAGGTGTGTGTGTGTGTGTATCCACTAGGTGTGTGTGTGTAGCCACTAGGTGTGTGTGTGTGTGTAGCCACTAGGTGTGTGTGTGTAGCCACTAGGTGTGTGTGTGTATCCACTAGGTGTGTGTGTGTGTATCCACTAGGTGTGTGTGTGTGTAGCCACTAGGTGTGTGTGTGTGTAGCCACTAGGTGTGTGTGTAGCCACTAGGTGTGTGTGTGTGTAGCCACTAGGTGTGTGTGTGTGTAGCCACTAGGTGTGTGTGTGTGTAGCCACTAGGTGTGTGTGTAGCCACTAGGTGTGTGTGTGTGTAGCCACTAGGTGTGTGTGTGTGTAGCCACTAGGTGTGTGTGTGTGTGTAGCCACTAGGTGTGTGTGTGTGTGTAGCCACTAGGTGTGTGTGTGTGTGTAGCCACTAGGTGTGTGTGTGTGTAGCCACTAGGTGTGTGTGTGTGTAGCCACTAGGTGTGTGTGTGTGTGTGTGGCCACTAGGTGTGTGTGTGTGTGTAGCCGGTGTGTGTGTGTGTGTGTGTAGCCACTAGGTGTGTGTGTGTAGCCACTAGGTGTGTGTGTGTATCCACTAGGTGTGTGTGTGTGTGTATCCACTAGGTGTGTGTGTGTGTAGCCACTAGGTGTGTGTGTGTGTGTGTGTAGCCACTAGGTGTGTGTGTGTGTAGCCACTAGGTGTGTGTGTGTGTAGCCACTAGGTGTGTGTGTGTAGCCACTAGGTGTGTGTGTGTGTGTAGCCACTAGGTGTGTGTGTGTGTAGCCACTAGGTGTGTGTGTGTGTAGCCACTAGGTGTGTGTGTGTGTAGCCACTAGGTGTGTGTGTGTAGCCACTAGGTGTGTGTGTGTAGCCACTAGGTGTGTGTGTGTAGCCACTAGGTGTGTGTGTGTGTAGCCACTAGGTGTGTGTGTGTAGCCACTAGGTGTGTGTGTGTAGCCACTAGGTGTGTGTGTGTAGCCACTAGGTGTGTGTGTGTAGCCACTAGGTGTGTGTGTGTGTGTAGCCACTAGGTGTGTGTGTGTAGCCACTAGGTGTGTGTGTGTAGCCACTAGGTGTGTGTGTGTGTGTAGCCACTAGGTGTGTGTGTGTGTGTAGCCACTAGGTGTGTGTGTGTGTGTGTAGCCACTAGGTGTGTGTGTGTGTGTAGCCACTAGGTGTGTGTGTGTGTAGCCACTAGGTGTGTGTGTGTGTAGCCACTAGGTGTGTGTGTGTAGCCACTAGGTGTGTGTGTGTAGCCACTAGGTGTGTGTGTGTGTAGCCACTAGGTGTGTGTGTGTGTAGCCACTAGGTGTGTGTGTGTAGCCACTAGGTGTGTGTGTGTGTGTAGCCACTGTGTGTGTGCGTAGCCACTAGGTGTGTGTGTGTAGCCACTAGGTGTGTGTGTGTGTAGCCACTGGGTGTGTGTGTGTGTGTAGCCACTAGGTGTGTGTGTGTAGCCACTGGGTGTGTGTGTGTGTAGCCACTAGGTGTGTGTGTAGCCACTAGGTGTGTGTGTGTGTGTAGCCACTAGGTGTGTATGTGTGTGTGTGTGTAGCCACTAGGTGTGTGTGTGTGTGTGTAGCCACTAGGTGTGTGTGTGTGTGTAGCCACTAGGTGTGTGTGTGTGTAGCCACTAGGTGTGTGTGTGTGTGTAGCCACTAGGTGTGTGTGTGTGTGTGTGTAGCCACTAGGTGTGTGTGTGTGTAGCCACTAGGTGTGTGTGTGTGTGTAGCCACTAGGTGTGTGTGTGTGTGTAGCCACTAGGTGTGTGTGTGTGTGTAGCCACTAGGTGTGTGTGTGTGTGTAGCCACTAGGTGTGTGTGTGTGTGTGTAGCCACTAGGTGTGTGTGTGTAGCCACTAGGTGTGTGTGTGTAGCCACTAGGTGTGTGTGTGTAGCCACTAGGTGTGTGTGTGTGTAGCACACTAGCACTAGGTGTGTGTGTGTAGCCACTAGGTGTGTGTGTGTGTAGCCACTAGGTGTGTGTGTGTGTGTAGCCACTAGGTGTGTGTGTGTAGCCACTAGGTGTGTGTGTGTGTGTAGCCACTAGGTGTGTGTGTGTGTAGCCACTAGGTGTGTGTGTGTGTGTAGCCACTAGGTGTGTGTGTGTAGCCACTAGGTGTGTGTGTGTGTGTAGCCACTAGGTGTGTGTGTGTGTAGCCACTAGGTGTGTGTGTGTGTAGCCACTAGGTGTGTGTGTGTAGCCACTAGGTGTGTGTGTGTGTGTAGCCACTAGGTGTGTGTGTGTGTAGCCACTAGGTGTGTGTGTGTAGCCACTAGGTGTGTGTGTGTAGCCACTAGGTGTGTGTGTGTAGCCACTAGGTGTGTGTGTGTAGCCACTAGGTGTGTGTGTGTGTAGCCACTAGGTGTGTGTGTGTAGCCACTAGGTGTGTGTGTGTAGCCACTAGGTGTGTGTGTGTAGCCACTAGGTGTGTGTGTGTAGCCACTAGGTGTGTGTGTGTGTAGCCACTAGGTGTGTGTGTGTAGCCACTAGGTGTGTGTGTGTAGCCACTAGGTGTGTGTGTGTGTAGCCACTAGGTGTGTGTGTGTGTGTAGCCACTAGGTGTGTGTGTGTGTGTGTAGCCACTAGGTGTGTGTGTGTGTGTGTAGCCACTAGGTGTGTGTGTGTGTGTAGCCACTAGGTGTGTGTGTGTGTAGCCACTAGGTGTGTGTGTGTAGCCACTAGGTGTGTGTGTGTGTAGCCACTAGGTGTGTGTGTGTGTAGCCACTAGGTGTGTGTGTGTGTAGCCACTAGGTGTGTGTGTGTAGCCACTAGGTGTGTGTGTGTGTGTAGCCACTGTGTGTGTGCGTAGCCACTAGGTGTGTGTGTGTAGCCACTAGGTGTGTGTGTGTGTGTAGCCACTGGGTGTGTGTGTGTGTGTAGCCACTAGGTGTGTGTGTGTAGCCACTGGGTGTGTGTGTGTGTAGCCACTAGGTGTGTGTGTGTGTGTAGCCACTAGGTGTGTGTGTGTGTAGCCACTAGGTGTGTGTGTGTGTGTAGCCACTAGGTGTGTGTGTGTGTAGCCACTAGGTGTGTGTGTGTGTGTAGCCACTAGGTGTGTGTGTGTGTAGCCACTAGGTGTGTGTGTGTAGCCACTAGGTGTGTGTGTGTAGCCACTAGGTGTGTGTGTGTGTAGCCACTAGGTGTGTGTGTGTGTGTAGCCACTAGGTGTGTGTGTGTGTAGCCACTAGGTGTGTGTGTGTGTAGCCACTAGGTGTGTGTGTGTAGCCACTAGGTGTGTGTGTGTAGCCACTAGGTGTGTGTGTGTAGCCATTAGGTGTGTGTGTGTAGCCACTAG